GGTAGTAGGTAGTAGGTAGTAGGTAGTAGGTAGTAGGTAGTAGGTAGCAGGTAGGAGGTAGTAGGTAGTAGGTAGTAGGTAGTAGGTAGTAGGTAGTAGGTAGTAGGTAGTAGGGAGTAGGTAGTAGTAGTAGTAGTAGTAGTAGTAGTAGTAGTAGTAGTAGTAAGTAGTAGTAAGTAGTAGTACTAGTAGTTGCAATTGTAGTGCGCAGCTCGGGGCCCGAGCTTCGGGGCCCGAAACTTGGAAGCTTCCGGGGCCCAAGTAGTAGGAGTAGTAATATGTACTTTACTTGCAGTAGGATGTTGCCTGTCTCAAGTCTCTTTGCAAACAGCTGCGCCAACAGATCTGGAATTGCATCCGACCACAGTCACTCTGGCATATCTTCGAACTGAATGCTCCCACACTATGGTGAGCTTTGTGGTTCTCGATTTTGCTTGGGTCCTCCGGTTGTGTGTTGTGGTTGTGTTGTGATTGTGTGTAGTTGTGTGTTTGTCGTTGTGTTTGTGGTTGTGATCGTGGTTGTGTGTTTGTGGTTGTGATCGTACTTGTGTGTTTGTGGTTGAGTTTGTGGTTGTGTTTGTGGTTGTGTGTTTGTGGTTGTGTGTTTGTGGTTGTGTGTTTGTGGTTGTGATCGTGGTTGTGTTTGTCGCTGTGTTTGTGGCTGTGTTTGTTGTTGTGTGTTTGTGGTTGTGTGTTTGTGGTTGTGATCGTGGTTGCGTTTGTCGCTGTGTTTGTGGCTGTGTTTGTTGTTGTGTGTTTGTGGTTATGCATTTGTGGTAGTTGTGTTTGTAGTTGTGCGTTTGTGGTTGTGTGTTTGTGGTTGTGTTTGTCGTCGTGTGTTTGTGGTTGTGTGTTTGTGGTTGTGATCGTGGTTGTGTGTTTGTCGTTGTGTGTTTGTGATTGTCTCTTCGTAGCTGTGTTTGTAGTTGTGCGCTTGTGGTCGTGTGTTTGTGGTTGTGCTTGTGGTTGTGTGCTGTGGTTGTGTTTGTGGTTGTGCTTGTGTGTTTGTGATTGTCTCTTTGTAGTTGCGTTTGTGGTTGTGTGTTTGTGGTTGTGTTTGTGGTTGTGTTTGTGGTTGTGTGCTGTGGTCGAAGTCCGGCAGGGAACACTGGGCGTGTATGGTCGTGGTTGAGGTCTGGCAGGGAACACTGGGCGCGGATGGTCGTGGTTGAGGTCGGGCAGGGAACACTGGGCGTGGATGGTCGTGGTTGAGGGGTCCGGCGGAGGAAGAGGAGGAGAAGGAGAAGAAGGAGAAGGAGAAGAAGGAGGAGGAGAAGGAGGAGATAGGGCTGACATAGAATCTAACAACCCTCACCTGACAGGTGGAGAAAAACCGATTGTAATGCAGGATGTCTGTTGTCCGGGCAGGAAGCCATCTCGAAGCATGCATTGGATTCTACATGGCGGGACCCTATGCACAGTCAAAATCCAGGTGAACGCAGCAGGGGATGTATCAGCCACCCAAGAAACTTCGCGATATGATTCAAAATTATCAGATTGGATTCAAGAGTCCTTCACAAAATGACTTATATATTCTTGAAGATCTAGAATCAAACGGTCTTGATGGGCTATATACATTGCCGCAACGGGTGATTCAATGTTTTCCTGTTGCATCGAGATGCATCGAGCGAGGACAAACATCCATTGATCTCAATAAGGAACCAATGCCTCAAAAAAGCAGCTTCTCCAGGGGATCAAAGTACTCATTCGTCAGTCCCGGTGGGTGATCTTCTCCGGCATCTGTTGACAAGCTGACATCTGCGGACCCATGTAGTACTTCTATACTCCCATAGGAGGAACATCACACACAGGCATGGGGGGGAGGCGGGGCGCGCGCCTCTTGGAAAGCTTGGGATCCCAGGACCATCCACTTTGTTTCTCCTCGGATGACCCGGACAGAATGCTCAGGATACTCGGACCAGGCGTGATGTTTATCTTTTGCTCCTAGTAGCGTCTTTGTTCCTAGTAGCGATGCCAGGAGCCCCTAGTAGCGTCCTTGCTCCGCAGATTCATTACATGTTACATGCATTGATCATTGATATTCATTGATCACTGATCACGTAATATTATTGTATCACTATACTCACTAGACATAGGTTGGTTCAGCTGGACTGTCAATGTCGCAGTTGCAAGTCAATGAGTCTGCTGGCGAACAAAGCCACAAACTTCACCCATGGCTTTGTTCCTATGTGTATAAAACAAGTAAGCGCCAGAAAGTTCAAATAGATGTGTGGGCCAAAAAGCCGGCTGTATCGTCCCGAAGTCAGCTTCATTGGTAGTTCTGCTCATCTTACAAGGGATTGCTTGCCGACTTCTGCAGAACCCGCCACTCGATATTCTAGACTGAACCACTACTGTAAATGCCTGCTTCTCGACCAAGGAATGTCTGTACCAAAACAAAGTCTCTGCATTCTATGCACTGTTTTTGGCAGAGGGGGCACCTTGACATGCAGCAAAATCCGTGTGCACTCCACCTCTGCAACCTTGTTGGGAGGCATCAAGGCTCGGTTTTCTTCTTCGCATCGTAGAGCTTTCCATACAGCTTGTAGTACCTGGCACAATATTGCCACCCTGTCACACCAATACCTCACTACTGAGGGACACGCATTCACTTGCTAGCATGTTGAAAAAACCCAGGGGCAAGACTACGCTAATCTGGAGGGCAATCTGGCGAATCTAGTATGTTCTTTTGCTTATATAGACAGGTTCCACTGACTATCGCAAAGAGCTGTGAGTCGACGTGAGACGTGGCTCTTGACTCCACCCCACCCAACTGGTCGGACCTCTTGTCGAAGCCAACCTGAGCGGGTCGCGTGGAGAAAGCGGCTGAAGTTCCAAAGTGTGTCATCCCAACTTCGAGAATCTTCGAGATAAGGTGGGTCCATTCAAACCCCGGCAACTGCTTCTGTCCAACATGGTCGGACTCCAGGGATGGTATAGTCCCGTATTCTTCCAGATGCAAGAAAACATGCCACAAAGCTGTAGTGACGCTTGCTGCATCAGTTCGGGAAGCTATAAATTATAGCTGATGAGTTTTGGAAAGGGATGGCACTTCACAAATCAGCTGGATGATTATATAACAAAAAGCAGGGTTCCCTATGAAATCAATGAAACCCCCCTGTGGAAGAGGCTTCGCACATCGCATTACACTAAAGTTCCAACCAGTGCTTGCATATATAGGTACAGACTTCGGCGTACTTGGGTGAAAGCAAAAGCTGGAAACAAATGAACGATTTCGTGCACCAGTTGGCACAGCATAGCACAGCTATCTCTGGTGTACAGTAGGATGCAATCCTCATCCTCACTCGTCAATAAGACTTGGCTCCGCGCTTGTGGAGGGTAGTTGTCCACCTTTGAACCAACAGGCCTGCTACCCCAACCTGCCAGCCAACCAACTCGTGGGCTGCCAGAATGGGGTCTATGTGTTGTCCGCTCTATCGAACACCCGGCTAATTGTGCATCATGCAACATGAAAACATCGAAGTAGTTGTGATTTGAGTGGTTCACCGCATCCTAAATGTTTGCATATCCCCCTTGAACAGAAGACCTGGGAGGAAACTCTGCAAAAGAAACTATATTATATACAGTAGAAATATATATAATATGTATATAGAAGGGGCCTGTTTGACTCTCTCAGCTAGCGATGGGACATCGTGTTTCAGGTACTAGTGGCCAAAGAAGGACTGGCCAAAGAAGGACTCTCAAGTTCAACGTATTTCAACTGGAAGTCCTGCTCTTTTCTGCCAAAGAACAAACACAGAAAGACCAGACCTCCAATGTCATGCCACTCGGCTTTGGCCAACTCGAGATCCTGAAGATGAAAATGCTGCAGTCCCAGTTGAGTCCATGGGTGGTATGTTTCTCTATGTTTCTACAAGGCTTTTGTGCCACCATAGCAAACCTTAGTCTTGGTGTACGCGCTTCATCCTGTTCAGTCCTCATCCTGCTTCATCTGCTCAGCCAAGGTGAGACGGGCCTCAGAGCACATCAGACAATTGGGTCACGTGAGATCGTTCATCCTTCAACTGAGCGAGTCCAAGAAGACACCATGAACGATCTCTTTGCTTTTTTTCAATGTGCTTTGTATTATTTTGATATTCGATGTCAAATGCTTCATCTTTCGAACATTTCATGTGATGCCAATGTATGGACAAACGTTGAATGGTTCCTCATGTTCATCGTTTAAGCACTGAGATTCGGAAGACCCTCCGCACTTGGACAGGCACAGGGAAGTCTTTCGAGAGAGGTTCGGTTGTTACCTGGCAGCCAACCCAAGAGCTTGTCTCAAACAAGGCTACAGCATACGTAGCAATTGCGCTTGGAACCTGCCTATACAAATGTCTCATCTCAACGGAAACGCTAACAGCAGATTCACCCTGATCCCGCATCGGAGAGACAGAAAATAACAATCTTCAATCCACCTACCTCCTGGCCAGCCAAGGCTGCACGCTCCCGTTCCTTCAGGAAGGTCTTGGCCAGTGCCTCGGCTGGTCTCACTTGGCAGGCGCCCTCAGGCACCTGCACAGCCTAGGTCCTCAAGCGATGCGCGTCAAGATTGTGGCGTTGTCCACCTCCCCTCCCAGCGGGAGTTGGAAGATAAGCAGTTGGGAAAACTACTCAATGAATAGGTAGGCATTGTTTAGAAGCACACACCAAAAAATGCAGTCGGCGCAAGAACATGAAAACGACAAAAACTGTAAATTAGATGTGTTCCGTGGGAACTCCATCCAAATTTGAGAACTGAATGCGCGGTACTTTTGTGGTAGATATATAGCTAACTGGGATACACACTATGTACCGTGGTGATTTCCAAAGTGTTCCAACATGTTCAGAATACGTTGCTAATTAACCCTTCTGAGTGTAGTAACACGGTAGGGGTTACTGCCTTCATCATTATCAGAAAAAAGTAAACATTAAAAGATATCAATCGTGACCATGTGGTTTAATGTCCCAGAACCAGAACCTGTTTGAGTTGCCTCATCGCGGCCAAGGAACAATCTTGTATTGCCATTCGTACTTCATGCCCGCAGATGGTTTCTTTTTGCGGAATTTCTGGCAGAACGAGCCATTCAATCGTCGGTTGTGGGGCTGTCCGGAGGGTGGTTTTGGGCTACCTGCAGTCACTGGCCTCTTTCCACCTCACGTGGCTAGGGAACTAGTTCTTCCAAATGAAACATACAAAAAAACAACAGCTTCACACTGTGCCTGTGGGTTTGTCCAAGTCTAAATAAGCAAGTGTTCTTGCATATCCAGTTGAGCACTGAGCACTTCAAGACAGTTCCAACTGCAACGGCTCTGAGCCACTCTTCAATGCTGAGGAAGCAAAACAAAGCATCCACATCCCGACCTCCAGGCGGAAACGTAGCAGCTTCTGCCGCCTCGTGCAACGAACGCTAAGTTTCTCTTAGGTCTGCTTAGACTCTTCAAAGTTCAAAGCAACGCTTTAAAAGAAAAACTCTTGAAATTCTGACGGCGGCGAAACTGTGCACCACATGGGAAGTCGAGAGACCGCTCATGGCCCATGGAATTGAAGTAACTATATCCAAAAGCCTAAAGCCAAAATGAATCATATCATCGGCGGGGTACATTCGGTGACATTGACTGTGTCGGTCAGGTGCACAATGTGTACAACTCAGAAGATTCATAAGTCATACTGTAGCTGAAGGGCAGATGTGGCGGCTGGAAAGGCAACCCAAAGTGGCAATCTGATGCATGGCGGTGTGCTAATGTCAAGCATAGTGCGGTGATGTGATAGTATTAGGTTCCTTATGCTATCAGGTTGGAGGTCATCGCTTTTGATAGCGATGGCCTCCAACTTATGAGCATTTTTCGACCTTTCAGCCCGCCAGACATTGCGGTCTGTTGCGCAGCCAATCTTCCTTGTGATTGTGGGGCTGTTGTCAGCCCATCAACATTGAAAGTAGACAGCCCAGCGCCTGGTCCGTGATGTTCTCCAGGAACGCGGAGGGCGGCAGCACTGCAAAGTCGGCTCCTGGTTGTCATCTGCGCGACGCCAGTATGAGGACTCCGGGTCCCGCAGCCATGAGGAGTAGTGACTTGGAGCCAATGCACGTGACAATGCAGCGTGTGTGCGACGGTCTGGAGATCTGAAGAACACGTTGGGGTCATGGCGCACATCTTTCTCCTTGAAGTGGTGGTGAACAGCAGCGGAGTACATGTCAAGCCAGTGCGCATTCCCAGTGAATATGTCCAGGAATCAATGGTCTGCTGAAGTGACAGACCTTTTTGGCCAGTCAAAGCAGCAGCAGCAGCAGCACCACTGTCGCAGGCGTGAGCCCCATCAACTGTAGAAAACCGCCTCACCCCAGGAAGCTGCAGCCAGCCCAGCAAAAGAAAAAGAAAAAGTTCTGCGCTTCTGGGGATTCGGATCCCCATTTGCTGAAGAAGGACCGGAGGGGTCCAAGGTCACCAAGCGGCATGGGCGATTCTCTGCAAAGACCTCATGAATCCACCATGAGCGCCCAAGGCCTGAGATAGGAGATCAGGCGCGCCAGTTGCCAGTGTTGATGAAATTCCACTTCAAAATAGCAGCCACAAAGTCCTTGGAGGTGGGCTGAGTTGCCAAGTCTCCTGCTTCAGTGGGAGGTGACGCCCTTTGATCTGCCTCTCCAAATGCCTGAGTTTGGATGGAGGGGGGCCGTGAGCCATCCTCCAGTAGCACTCGATACTGTTGAGCAGTCTTCAAATTGGTGGCCCTGTCCATCGTGCTTGGATGAGAGTGATCGTCAAAGCGGTCCTCAGTAGTTGCTTGGGCTGGGCCGTCGGCGCTGCTTGATGCCAGTGTGCAATCTGCTCGATGAGTAGAGACAGCCGGCTGCGCGTGACGCAGGTGGGCACTGAAGTCCCCTAGGCAACAAGGTATTGCGGCTGGGGAGTGATCGAAGGAGGCTATCAAGCGAGGTCCATAAGTCAGATCTCAGAGCAAGGCTGGGGGCTTGATTGCCCGCATGTCAGTATGAGATCCAGTGGCCTGGAATGGAGAGGAGAGACATTGCAATCTTGACCCAAGTGATGTTATGGGCCTCAATGAAGGATTTATTCTTCACAAGAAGCAGGAGGCCTGCAGTCTTATCACGATCAGTCCACTCACGGTCCTCGACCCAGTGGGAAGGCCTCCAGGTAGCAGGAGGCAAGGGCTGTGATCTTTGGGAGAGCGGCCTCACAGGTGGGGGAGCTGCACCTATAGTGATTGGATCGTGTGAATTCAACCATGATACCAGCAAAGCCACTGGCCTGAGCTTGCAAAAGAGTACGAAGAAAGTGTGCTTTCCTGATGGGCTGAGTGGACATGTTTGGCTCAGGTCCGGAACAATTTGCACCAATCAAGAGTAAAAGTAGGTGACTCAATTTCATGCTTCGGATTTGGGACCAGGATCCAGTGCTTCTGCAAGGTGCGAGGCAATAACAGGTAATCGAACTCGTCCACGAAAAAGATGGCTTCCCCGAGGAAGGACGCACGAAACAAAGGGCTCGTCTGCCCAACAGGGCAAAAGTTTTTGAGCACTGGTGGCACTTCCTCCAACCTATGTGGTGATGTGAAATGTATTGAAATGTGATGTGTCTGATGTGTTGTATGGTATTTGCCCATGTTACAAAGTGCCATGCAATGTGATGTACTGCAATCCTGCCATATATAGTGAGTGATGTGACGTGTGATGATTTCATGAAGCCACTCTCTTCCAAAGGACGACAGGTTGCCACCTGGATCTCTGAGTTCTCGGGCGAAAAAGCGATGACATCATGAAGCTCCTCATCGTTCATTTCCCTAATCTCCTTCTGGTACCTGGCCTTGGAGCGACAGAAGGGGGTGTTTGAGAAAAGGTCTGAGGGCGGCTTGGATTGGCAGTGGGTAGTTGGTACCATAGAAACCCCCTCTATGTATCATGAACCGCTAATCTGATCCAGGTTGAAAATAAGCAGCGGATGAGTTCCAAATAAATTGTTGGGGGCCCTAACAACAAAAAGCAACAGCTACAGTATGTTCTCTGGCTCTAACCGTCTCCACAGGGATACTGCTGTTTTCGATATCTTGGCAAAAGAACAAACTATTGGACAAGTATGGAATTGTAGTCAAGGATTTTACCCAGGTGGAAGATCCTTTGCATGAACTTTCTCTTTACTGTTTGATACACGGCCAAACATGAAGGACTACTTGATCTTTCCAACGGACCCGCCTTCCTAGTGGAAACAAACTTATCTTATTAATCTAAATGCCTTCTTTAGGTGGCTAATGCGTGTTCCAAATTCCTTTGAACACTCAATTCCTGATGTTGAAGAAATATGAAGACGCAGTAACATGAGACCTAAAAACGATGAAGCAAGATCCAAAGTGCCTCTCATGAATCTCCTACAGTAAGATACGTTCAGTCGAGTGCACCAGCTGGAGGGGCGAAAATGCGGCTAGTTGGTGCCCGCACTTGCGCATAGCCACTGTGGGAGACAGCTCGTCCGACAGAAAGGTCTCGGCCCTGATGCTGACTGCGGGTGGAGCAAGCGAGGCATTGGATGGAATTTGATGGAATTTGATAGCCAGTTTATCCAAATCTGGGAACCAAACTGCATTGAAGTTATTCATCATACTGAAGCTGACTGAAACCTCATTACTGTACCCAGTACCTACCGCAACAGTCCATCCACCACACAAAGACTCAGCCTTTTCTCTGACTATCACAAACCAAACTATGCAAGCCCAAACCCGCTAGCCGCAACCCATCCAAGGCTGAGTGGTCGACTACCACACAGCGTGTAATCACTCGAAACACGGAACCTGTACCCACAAAAACAACAAACATGCTTTAGCATGTTTTGAGGGTTCTGTCCAAGCAAATGCAGCAAGTGCAAGCAAATGCAGCAAACCCCGCAAATCTGAAAAAAATAGTTCTGGAGCTGAAGGCTGCTGCGACAAGCAAGGGCCTGCTTGAGCGAACTCGTGACAAAGGCCTCCACAGCAAAGTCGCACGTGATCAGAGGCAAAGAAGTGAGAAGTTAAGGATTTTCCAACATCACCCGGCCCGTGCCCATCCCACTTGTCTGCCCCTTTCATGGCCACAAAAGCCAGAAGAGCATGATGGCACTTCCTCCTCAAAGTCCCCAGCAGCCGATTCCTCCCTTGGTGGCATCAACATGCATCAACCACCTACCACGCATTCTAAGACAAATGCCATCAACCCAGTTGCCTTTTCATCGTCTGCTCCAATCACCAAATCACCAAACCATGAGATTGAGTGCTTGGCTTTCCTCATATGTTTTGAGTCCCAAGTCTGACCTTCTCCTTGTGCCTCTATCAAATTCGATCTAAGCTTATATTACGTAGTCTTGTAGTGGACGATGCTGCCACTCAGCCAGCAAAAATCCCGAAGCAATTTGATGTGTGAGCAATTCTCAGATGACCGATAAATCCTTGCGAATGTGCCACCTGGTTGTGCCATTTCCTATGCCCCGCCTCTGAGGCGAAGTGCCCAGCTAGCAGGAGCCTCGGCGACCGAGCCGTGGGGAGCATCTCATCGTATGTCAATGTATCAATCCGTATGTGATGTCAATCTGACCGTGTTCAGAGGATTTGGTACAAAGCAAGATCTTTTTTTTGATGAACCCAAACATAAACCACCAACCATCTGTTGAGAAGTCTGAATTGATTTCCAGATTGCTACTACTCTTCCGGACATCATTGACTTCCCCGTCTCAGAAATCAGGGATGATTCCAGAGCACAAAGGACCAAATATACAGTTGATGTCCTATTTGTCCTTGTCCTGGGGCACAATGAAGACCTGCAGGTTCACCAAACAGGTTGGGACCGAGCGGACTGGACTGGTTCCTTTGCGCAACAAAAGCTCAAGAACACCCAGGTATTCTGCATGCAAGTGTCTCCATGATCTTCCGACTTCATCTTGGGGTTTGTGCCATCTACTCGACTCTGAAACCAATGTAGATCTACGGTGAGAGCTTCGTCGTCACACCGGCGCAGTGCAAACTATCGCGCTGGGTCTGCTAGCAAGAGCCCTGCGCTTGATGCCAGCAATGCCAGAGTGCGAAGCCTCAGGAAACCAACTGGGCAGCCCTCCACAAAAGCCAGGAGCTTTCTTTGTGAGCCCAGTTATTTTCTCAGAATCCATTCTGTGGTGTTTACCTCGTTGATGGCAGCTTCGGTAGCACACTTGACTTACAAAGGATTCGAACGAGAATGAGAACATTGATGGGCAGTCTTATGTGGATGCTTGATCAACCGCTGCCTAGGCATACACAGCATCAGGCAAGTTGCTGTCCCCAAATCCAAACAACATCCACATAGACCTGTACTCCAACCGCCCCTATGCCAATTTTCAATTCTATATACCAGGCCACATCAGTTTCAGCTGAAACAGTCTCTTGGTGCAGAAACGTGCTACTCAAGCTGCTCAAGCAGCTTCCATTCTCCCAGGCACAATAGTGGCAAGCCACACGCAATCCCGAAGTTCAAAACTGCTCTTTCTAGAGGTCAGCGATGGCCTCAAACCTAATAGCAAGGGCCTCCAACCTACTAGCAAAGGCCTCCAACCT